CCTCAGCCACGCCACACGGGATACCACCTCAGCCACACGAGATACCACCTCAGCCACGCCACACGGGATATCACCTCAGCCACGCCACACGGGATATCACCTCAGCCACGCCACACGAGATATCACCTCAGCCACGCCACACGGGCTATCACCTCAGCCACACGAGATACCACCTCAGCCACGCCACACGGGATATCACCTCAGCCACGCCACACGGGATACCACCTCAGCCACGCCACACGGGATATCACCTCAGCCACGCCACACGGGATATCAGCTCAGCCACACCAGATACCACCTCAGCCACACCACACAGGATACCACCTCAGCCACGCCACACGGGATATCACCTCAGCCACGCCACACGGGATACCACCTCAGCCACGCCACACGGGATATCACCTCAGCCACGCCACATGGGATATCACCTCAGCCACACGGGATACCACCTCAGCCACACCACACGGGATACCACCTCAGCCACGCCACACGGGATATCACCTCAGCCACGCCACACGGGATATCACCTCAGCCACACCAGATACCACCTCAGCCACACCACACGGGATACCACCTCAGCCACGCCACACGGGATACCACCTCAGCCACGCCACATGGGATATCACCTCAGCCACACGGGATACCACCTCAGCCACACCAGATATCACCTCAGCCACATGAGATACCACCTCAGCCACACGGGATATCACCTCAGCCACGCCACACGAGATATCACCTCAGCCACACGGGATATCACCTCAGCCACACCACACGAGATACCACCTCAGCCACACGAGATATCACCTCAGCCACACCAGATATCACCTCAGCCACGCCACACGAGATATCACCTCAGCCACACGAGATACCACCTCAGCCACACGAGATATCACCTCAGCCACACCAGATATCACCTCAGCCACACGAGATACCACCTCAGCCACGCCACACGGGATACCACCTCAGCCACACAAGATATCACCTCAGCCACGCCACACCAGATATCACCTCAGCCACGCCACATGGGATATCACCTCAGCCACACAAGATATCACCTCAGCCACGCCACACGAGATATCACCTCAGCCACACCACACGGGATACCACCTCAGCCACACGAGATACCACCTCAGCCACGCCACACAAGATATCACCTCAGCCACGCCACACGGGATACCACCTCAGCCACGCCACACGGGATACCACCTCAGCCACGCCACACGGGATATCACCTCAGCCACACGAGATACCACCTCAGCCACGCCACACAAGATATCACCTCAGCCACACCACACGGGATACCACCTCAGCCACGCCACACGGGATACCACCTCAGCCACGCCACACGGGATATCACCTCAGCCACACGAGATACCACCTCAGCCACGCCACACGGGATACCACCTCAGCCACACCACACGGGATATCACCTCAGCCACACCACACGGGATACCACCTCAGCCACACCACACGGGATACCACCTCAGCCACGCCACACGGGATACCACCTCAGCCACACGAGATATCACCTCAGCCACGCCACACAAGATATCACCTCAGCCACACGAGATATCACCTCAGCCACACGAGATATCACCTCAGCCACACCAGATATCATCAGTCACTCCACACGAGCGTCCACCCCAGTCACACCACACGAGCGTCCACCCCAGTCACACCACACGAGCGTCCACCCCAGTCACACCACACGAGCGTCCACCCCAGTCACACCACACGAGCGTCCACCCCAGTCACACCACACGAGCGTCCACCTCAGTCACACCACACGAGCATCCATCCCAGTCACACCACACGAGCGTCCACTCCAGTCACACCACACAAGCGTCCACCTCAGTCACACCACACGAGCGTCCATCTCAGTCACACCACACGAGCGTCCACCCCAGTCACACCACACGAGCATCCACCCCAGTCACACCACACAAGCGTCCACCTCAGTCACACCACACGAGCGTCCACCCCAGTCACACCACACGAACGTCCACCTCAGTCACACCACACGAGCGTCCACCTCAGTCACACCACACGAGCGTCCACCCCAGTCACACCACACGAGCGTCCACCCCAATCACACCACACGAGTGTCCACCCCAGTCACACCACACGAGCGTCCATCTCAGTCACACCACACGAGCGTCCACCTCAGTCACACCACACGAGCGTCCACCCCAGTCACACCACACGAGCGTCCACCTCAGTCACACCACACGGGCGTCCATCTCAGTCACACCACACGAGCGTCCACCCCAGTCACACCACACGAGCGTCCACCTCAGCCACACCACACGGGATATCACCTCAGTCACACCACACGAGCGTCCACCCCAGTCACACCACACGAGCGTCCACCCCAGTCACACCACACGAGCGTCCACCTCAGTCACACCACACGAGCGTCCACCTCAGCCACACCACACGAGCGTCCACCCCAGTCACACCACACGAGCGTCCATCTCAGTCACACCACACGAGCGTCCACCCCAGTCACACCACACGAGCGTCCACCTCAGTCACACCACACGAGCGTCCACCTCAGTCACACCACACGAGCGTCCACCCCAGTCACACCACACGAGTGTCCACCCCAGTCACACCACACAAGCGTCCATCTCAGTCACACCACACGAGCGTCCACCCCAGTCACACCACACGAGCGTCCATCTCAGTCACACCACACGGGATATCACCTCAGTCACACCACACGAGCGTCCACCCCAGTCACACCACACGAGCGTCCATCTCAGTCACACCACACGAGCGTCTACCTCAGCCACACCACACGAGCGTCCACCCCAGTCACACCACACGAGCGTCCACCTCAGTCACACCACACGAGCGTCCATCTCAGTCACACCACACGGGATATCACCTCAGTCACACCACACGAGCGTCCACCCCAGTCACACCACACGAGCGTCCACCCCAGTCACACCACACGAGCGTCCACCCCAGTCACACCACACGAGCGTCCACCTCAGTCACACCACACGAGCATCCATCCCAGTCACACCACACGAGCATCCACCCCAGTCACACCACACGAGCGTCCATCCCAGTCACACCACATGAGCGTCCACCTCAGTCTCCCACATCAGCCTCCACTGCAGCCATGTCACACAGGTGTCCACCTTCATAAGAGCAACTGAGGCTGTGCAGCCACGCCACACAGGTGTCCACCACAGACACACCGCATGAGCATCCACCTCAGTCCAGGGGATCTCAGGGGCCTCTTCGTGGGTGGACCCTCTTATTGGAGGGAGCTTGACATTGCTTTGTCTGCACCTACCCCATACACTCTGGCCCATCCACCTTCTCCAAGCCTAAACCTGACCCTACAGACGTGGATTGGACTTTGACCCTGGACTTACAGCCTCCAGAGCTCTGAGAAACCAATGCCGGTAGCTTGTGAATGCTGTGTATGGGCTCCACTGAAACCTCCTGAGCCGCTCCAGGCCCAGCCTGCCCCCACTTCCTTCAGCCTTGGACTCAGGAAAGCCAGGGCAGACAGCTCTCCCCTCTCCGCTGAGGGCCCGGCGTGCTGTCAGGCATGCTCCGGGCTCTGAGGGCCTGGACTGGGCTCTACATCCTGGCCCTGTCTGGACCCTGGAAGAAACTTCCCTCCAGGATGGCGTCTGAGGACGAAGTAAATAGCAGAGGAGACCCTCCATGCTCCCCAGGGATTGTGGGGTGGTGTGAGGTGGCCATACAGCCTGGAGCATGACCAGACCCAGAGACACCCCACAGGGCTGGGCACACAGGATCATAACCAGAAGGCCACGCGTGGGGCAGCATGTGAGTGCTGGAGCTGCATGAACAGCGCCAACCAACACAAGGTGCCCGGCCAGGGCACCATGCGGAGTGTGAGGCTCCAGAGAAAGCACCGGGGGCCGGTCACAGCGGTGGAGGAAGATGGGTCTCTAGGAGCCATTTTTATTTTGTTCTCTACTGCTTTCTACATGTACCAAAATTTCTACAATGACAATGTGTGTACTGTTTTTATAATCAGAAATTGGGACTTACAAAGGAGGAACCAAAGCTCTGAGGTGAGTCGGGGAGCAGAATGCAAGGGCTGGGGCTGGGAGGGGAGCCGTGTCTCGCCCCGCACTGCCCCCCCAGCTAGAAATAAGGCAGGCCCCTCTCGGGGCCCGGTCCCTCCCTGCTGCTGTAGCAGAAGTTCAGAATCTGAGCACACTCCCCCAGAGCAAATCCAGGCTCAACTACAGTTGGCAGACTACCATGTGCCCTCTTCCTCCGGCCTCATCTGAGCCACAGCACTTGTGCACGGTGTCAGACTGGATCCATGCTCCATTTTCTGCCTGTGGAGGCCCAGCTCCCCAACACCAATTGTGGAAGAAGCCATCTTTTCCCACTGTATATCCTTGGCTCCCTTATCAAATATCAGATAAGGGGAAGTATGTAGTTTTATTTCCCAGTCTTTTTCTCTGTTCCGTTGATCTTCGGGTCTATTTTTGTGTCAACACCAAGCTGTTTTTTGTTATAACAGCTCTGTAGTAGAGCTTGGGGTCAGGGATTGTGCCCATCAGCCACCTCTTAGAATGTGAAAGCACAGTACAGTGATGGCAAGAAGATGTGGGGACAGAGGCCGAGGCGGCGGCTAGGATACCAGAACCCTCACCAGGTTTTAACATGGGAAGAAGACACAAGCAGGATCCCTTTGTTCTCATTCAATGCTAGAAAGCAGCCCGTGATCTGGTGTTTGTGGAGGAGAAAAGGCCTGGGCTGGCTGAATTCACACCCAGCCCTGGAGCTGCGGCAGCCTCTCTGTCAGACTCAGAAGAGCCAGGTCCAAGTCTGCACCTCCCTTCCTCCACAAGCACATGCCTTCCACTGTCTGACAGTGGCACCACTGCCTGCCCCCCTCCCCTCCTGGTGAGAACGCTGGCACCAAGCTCTGTCCGCCCTGGGATCACACCAGCCTTCCCAGACTCTCCCTGCACGGCACCCAGCCAGGGCAGCCATCAGGAGGGGCTGCAGCGCCCCCAGGGCTTGTCTTTGTAACTGGGTGGCTCTGAACCTGTGGGCACGTTCTCCAGGACTTCACGCAGGGAGAACATGCAGAAAGAGATGTCCTCATAGGAGGCCCTTGCCCCACTCTCAAACAGACAGGCAAATGCCAGGGCTGCCCCAGGAACAGGCCCAAGGGTTGCCAGGTCGGAGTAGCCACTGGGGCCCTCGTAGATCACCCAGGGCTCCGTCCAGCTGTGGAGGTCCAGTGGGGACCGGCTCAGGCGAATCCCCATGTGGAGCCTGGCTCTGTGGCCTGTAGGGTGAGAATAAAGCAGCCACGTGGGGCCCGGAGGTGGGGATGTGGAGCGCATGGACTGCAGCGGGACCCACGCAGGTTCTGGACCCGGCTGCTTTGTGGCATCTCCCCAGGGTTGTGGGTGGCAAAAGGGTCCTCTGGGCACCCAGCCCCCAAGAGTGCCCTGAGCACCCTCCCTGGGAGAGTCCTGGAGTCCAGGAGAGGGACAGGGAGGGTGAGGGGGGCTCCTGGCAGCCGGCCACCACCCCTCACCCTGAGTCCTGAGGGATGGGGCCGGGAAGCCCAAGATGCTGCCCTGGCAGCCCCGGGCGGTCTCAGCCAGCGTAGGCACGAGCTCCCCAGGGAGGAAGGAGGTGCCCTCGTCCCTGCTGAGCGCCTGCACGCGGCTGCCCAGGGGGCTCCGCGCATTGCAGTAGAGCAGGCCTCCGTCCACTGCCGCCAGCTGGCATTCACCCGAGCGCAGATTAGGCACAAGGCCTCCACAGTGCCACGTGTGGCCGTGGTCATCACTGTAGAAAGCAAAAGAGTGAGGACTGGTCCGGCAGATCTTGCCAAAACACTCCCGGCGATCCACGCGGTAGGTATAAGCGGGCACCAGCAGACGGCCCGAGCGCAGCTGGACCCCGTGGCCTGGGCCCACGGCAAAGGTGGCCCAGTCTGCAGAGAAGAGAGGCTGATGAGCTCCCCAGGACAGGCAAGCCAAGGGGGGCCGTGAGATGACTCCCCTTTCACCTCGGCCCTGAATTCGCTCTGTGCTTTTGGAGGAACCCAGGAGACTACGTGGGCAGATGTTTTGTTTGCTCTGCCTCCAGCAGGCCAGGCGCTCTCAGCCAGATTCTGTCTTATCCACCCCTAGAGTCGGCCGCTCCCTGCAGCGCTGGCGCGCGGGCAGGCGCAGGTCGGTACTCAGCCGGGGTCGGGGTGGCCGGGGAGGGCAGTGACCGGCTGGCATCTGGGCGGGAGGTGGGGCTCGCGGCCTCGGCCTGGCTTATGGCCATGGAGGAAGTTGGATTGGGGTTGGCGATCAACACGAGAACTCACGAGCACTGGGCCCACGGGGGGCGACTGGGGCGCGGGGACCCACACCCACTCGTGGGCCATCCTGGGGACCTGAGGGAAAGGCCTTTTTTTTTTTTTTTTTGGCGGTCGTGGGGCTTGAACTCGGCCTGGGCGCTGTCCCTCAGCTCTTCAGCTCAAGGCGAGCGCTCTACCACTTGAGCCACAGCGCCACTTCCGGTTTTCTGGTGGTTTATTGGAGATAGGAGTCTCACGGTCTCTCCTGCCCGGGCTGGCTTTGAACCGAGATCCTCAGATCTCAGCCTCCTGAGTAGCTAGGATTACAGGCGTGAGCCACCAGCGCCCGGCGGAAAAGCCTTTTTTGACAGGAGGCTGTGCTGGGCAGAATGGGGACGGTCCAGAGAAGATGGCAGGCGGGAGCCAGGGGCCTAGCGGGGTCCTGGGCCCCGCCCTCCCTCAGGCCCCGCCCCTCCCTCAGGCCCTGCCCTCCAGCCGTGCTCCCGCTCGGCCCACATGCCCCGCCCCGCCCGCCCCGCCCGCCACAGGCCCCGCCCCGCCCCGCCCGCCACAGGCCCCGCCCCCAGGCCCGCCCCGCCCCAGGCCCCGCCCCCAGGCCCGCCCCGCCCGCCCCAGGCCCCGCCCCAGGCCCCGCCCCCAGGACCCGCCCCTGCTCCCGCCTACCCCGCAGGGCGGGGCCAATGGCCTCCTCCGTGAGGTCCCGCGCGCTGCCCCAGGTGAGGCCCGCGTCGCGGCTGGTCACGCAGCAGAGACGAGCCGCGTTCCTGCCGGTGGCGATCTGCACGGCCTCGGGGGTGTGGCCCAGCACGGCGATGAAGAAGAGGAAGACGGTGCCCGAGCCCGCGTCCAGCACCGGGCAGGGGTTCATGGACCGGTGCTCGTCCAGGACGGCGGTCTCCAGCACGCGCAGCGGACCCCACTGCGGGGAGAGCTGGCTAGCGGGCCGCCCGGGGGCCCGGACCCGCCCCGCCCCGCCCCGCCCCGCCCGGGACCCCGCTCCACCCTGCCCGGTCCCGCCCGCCCGGGACCCCGCTCCACCCTGCCCCGCCCCACCCGGGACCCCGCTCCACCCTGCCCCGCCCCGCCCCGCCCGGGACCCCGCTCCACCCTGCCCCGCCCCGCCCCGCCCGGGACCCCGCTCCACCCTGCCCCGCCCCGCCCCTCCCGCCCCGGGCCCCGCTCCACCCCGCCCCGCCCCGCCCCGCCCGGGACCCGCTCCGCCCCGCCCCGCCCCGCCCGGGACCCGCTCCACCCCCGCCCCGCACCGCCCCGCACCGCCCGGGACCCGCTCCGCCCCGCCCCGCCCCGCCCCGCCCGGGACCCGCTCCACCCCCGCCCCGCCCCGCCCCGCCCCGCCCGGGACCCGCTCCGCCCCGCCCCGCCCCGCCCGGGACCCGCTCCGCCCCGCCCCGCCCCGCCCGCCCGGGGCCCGCCAGTCACCCGCACGGCGCCCGCGGCCAGCGCGCCCCTCCTCAGCACCAGCCGGTGCGCGTGCGCGTCGTCGGGGCTGAGTCGCTGCTCGGCGAAGGCCAGGAGCGCGCGCGCGGGGCCCACGCGGAGCAGCGCCGGCGCGCGGTAGGTCAGGCCGGTCCGCTCCCGCCGGAAGAGCACGGCGCGCGCGGGGCGGCGCGGGGCCGCCATGCCGGGCCTGGGAGAGCGAGGGGGGGCTGCGGACGCGCGCCTCCGCACGGCCGGCCCCCGCAACTCCTCCCCCTCCCCACGGCCCGCCCCCTCTTCCAACTCCCCCTCCCCACGGCCCGCCCCCTCCTCCAACTCCTCCTCCCCACGGCCCGCCCCCTCCTCCTCCTCCTCCTCCCCACGGCCCGCCCCCTCCTCCTCCTCCTCCCCACGGCCCGCCCCCTCCTCCTCCCCCTCCCCACGGCCCGCCCCCCCTCCTCCAACTCCTCCCCACGGCCCGCCCCTCCTCCAACTCCTCCCCACGGCCCGACCCCTCCTCCAACTCCTCCTCCCCACGGCCCGCCCCCTCCTCCAACTCCCCCTCCCCACGGCCCGCCCCTCCTCCAACTCCCCCTCCCCACGGCCCGCCCCCTCCTCCAACTCCTCCCCACGGCCCGCCCCCTCCTCCAACTCCTCCCCACGGCCCGCCCCCTCCTCCAACTCCTCCTCCCCACGGCCCGCCCCCTCCTCCTCCTCCTCCCCACGGCCCGCCCCCCCTCCTCCCCCTCCCCACGGCCCGCCCCCTCCTCCTCCTCCTCCCCACGGCCCGCCCCCTCCTCCTCCTCCTCCCCACGGCCCGCCCCCTCCTCCTCCCCCTCCCCACGGCCCGCCTCCTCCTCCTCCTCCCCCTCCCCACGGCCCGCCCCCTCCTCCAACTCCTCCCCACGGCCCGCCCCCTCCTCCTCCTCCTCCCCACGGCCCGCCCCCTCCTCCTCCTCCTCCCCACGGCCCGCCCCCCCTCCTCCCCCTCCCCACGGCCCGCCCCCTCCTCCTCCTCCTCCCCACAGCCCGCCCCCTCCTCCTCCCCCTCCCCACGGCCCGCCTCCTCCTCCTCCTCCCCCTCCCCACGGCCCGCCCCCCTCCTCCTCCTCCCCCCCTCCTCCTGCTCCTCCCCCTCCTCAACGCCCCTGCCCTCCCTCCTCTTCCCCTCCATGGCCCCTGCCCTCTCTCCTCCTCCCTTCCACGCTCCTGCTCTCCCTCCTCCTCCTCTTCCACACCCCTGCCCTCCCTCCTCCACACAGCTTTGAGCTGCCCACTGGGTGTGTCAGTGCTGAGGCACAGGACATGATCAAACAGAGGCCTTCCAAACCAGCCAGCCTTCTAGCCCAAGACACCCCAGCCCTGCCCAACAGGAATCGGGACAAAGAGGTCACAGAACATGGAGCAAGCCCACTCAGGCCTGGCACACAGGGAGGTCACGGGGTGACGTCACACAGGACTCGGGCCTGGCACACAGGGAGGTCACAACCATGACGTCACACAGGACTCGGGCCTGGCACACAGGGAGGTCACAGCAGTGACATCACACAGGACTCGGGCCTGGCACACAGGGAGGTCACGGGTGACGTCACACAGGACTCGGGCCTGGCACACAGGGAGGTCACAACCATGACGTCACACAGGACTCGGGCCTGGCACACAGGGAGGTCACGGGGTGACGTCACACACAGGACTCGGGCCTGGAACACAGGGAGGTCATGGGGTGACGTCACACAGGACTCGGGCCTGGCACACAGGGAGGTCACAACCATGACATCACACAGGACTCGGGCCTGGCACACAGGGAGGTCACGGGGTGACGTCACACACAGGACTCGGGCCTGGCACACAGGGAGGTCACAACCATGACGTCACACAGGACTTGGGCCTGGCACACAGGGAGGTCACGGGGTGACGTCACACACAGGACTCGGGCCTGGCACACAGGGAGGTCACGGGGTGACGCCACACAGGACTCGGGCCTGGCACACAGGGAGGTCACGGGGTGACGTCACACAGGACTCAGGCCTGGCACACAGGGAGGTCACAACCATGACATCACACAGGACTCAGGCCTGGCACACAGGGAGGTCACGGGGTGACGCCACACACAGGACTCGGGCCTGGCACACAGGGAGGTCACGGGGTGACGTCACACACAGGACTCGGGCCTGGCACACAGGGAGGTCACGGGGTGACGCCACACAGGACTCGGGCCTGGCACACAGGGAGGTCACGGGGTGACGTCACACAGGACTCAGGCCTGGCACACAGGGAGGTCACAACCATGACATCACACAGGACTCAGGCCTGGCACACAGGGAGGTCACGGGGTGACGTCACACACAGGACTCGGGCCTGGCACACAGGGAGGTCACAACCATGACGTCACACAGGACTCGGGCCTGGCACACAGGGAGGTCACGGGGTGACGTCACACAGGACTCGGGCCTGGCACACAGGGAGGTCACGGGGTGACGCTACACACAGAAGCTTAGGAGAAACCCATGCAGACCTAGCTGGGAGGGCGTCCCCAAGGGTCTCTGCAGAAGGGATAGCTGAACTCCGGCCCTGAGGACATCCGCAGAGAAAGTAGAGATCTGGGTCCCAGAGGAAATCTGCAGCTGCCTGGACCCTCCGGCTCCCTGAGGGTGGTAGCGTTTCCCAGCTTCCTCCCTGAGAGAGCCACAGGAGCAGCCAGACAGGCACAGGATGTGAGGGAAAATGACTTTAACGGGAAGAGCTCACCTTTCCCGACAGCCACACTTAGCCTTCCTTGCTGCTGACTCCCCTCCCCCTCCCGCCCCTGAACAAATGCACCAACAGTGTTGAATGAGAGCTGAGACCGCAGCCGGCACTGATACCTCCGGCCTGACACGTGGGCTATGGAGATCTTGAAACTCCTCAGTCAAAACAACAGTGTTTGCTGGGCACCAGTGGCTCACACCTGTAATCCTAGCTACTCAGGAGACTGAGATCTGAGGATTATGGTTTGAAGCCAGCCACGGTAGAAAAGTCCCAGAGAGACTCTTATCTCTTAATTACTGGAAGGAGAGCTGTCACTCAAAGTGGTAGAGCACTAGTCTTGAGCAAAAGAGCTCAGTATCAGGCGCTGAGGGCTCACGCCTGTCATCCTTAGCTACTCAGGAGGCTGAGACCTGAGGATTGAGGCTCAAAGCCAGCCCCAGCAGGAAAGTCCGTGAAACTCTTCTCTCCAATAAACCACCAGAAAACCAGAAGTGGCGCTGTGGCTCAAGTGGTAGAGCGCTCACCTTGAGCTGAAGAGCTCAGGGACAGCGCCCAGGCCCAGAGCTCAAGCCCCATGACCGACCCCCCCCCCCCCAAAAAAAAGCTCAGGGACAGTGCCCAGGCTCTGAGTTCTAGCTCCACAACTGACATAAATAAGTACATAATATTGCTTACTCCATCTCCATCTCGGCCTGACGTCGCTTTTTCTGCCTAATTTTTAAGGAGACCCTGGCTGTAGGGGGCATTTCCCTTCAGCATGGTTGAAGGACTTGGACTACAGGAGGCGGGCTTCACCCCTGGGTGGCCTCTCCCAGAGCCTGGCTGCCATGTAAGCAGGCTAAGCTTTGGGCTAGGCTTATAATGATTGGACTGGTAACCTTCCTTCTGCTACCTGACGATCTCGACCTCCGGCCAAGGCCGTTGGCTGTTTTGTCTCCTGTATGCACCCCTTCCATCTGTGTTTGCCCTCCTCTGAGCGGGTAAGAGCCTCCCCTTCGCAGGGGCTGAAGAGCTCAGGGTCCTCCCCGTGGTGCCCTGGCAGACATGACCTTCTCCTTCCTGGCTCTCGGAGTCCCCTTTGGCAGCAGAGTGAAAACATCCCCTTCCCACCAAAGGGCTTTCCACGACAGAATGCTCCTTCATGGGATGCCTTGAACAGAGTTTTCAAAAGCCTCAGCTTCTTCCTTTGCTATTGAGGTGGCTCCCATAGTTCTGTTCCCACTGACTCTCCCCTTGGCCGCATCATGAAGAATTGAAAGGCATCGGGCTTAATTCCTGATATCAAACAAGAGAAACAATTTCCTACTGGTCAGAAGTTTCTTAGGCCCTAGCTTTTTTCCTTCTTCACTCCTGATCATCACTACATTCTTGTTTTGAGGTCAACATCCTCTTGGCTGAAACTGCCCCCTCCCTCGGTCCACCCTTCCCCTGCACTACCTGTGGACCCCGCCCATGAGCCTCATCCCTGCCACCCCCCCTCAGGCCTCAGCCTTCTAATCCCTCCCAGCCCCTCCCTCTACCCTTCCCTTTTCATGAAGTTCACAAAAGGAGATCTGTCCTGCCAAGAAAAACAATTTTTCCTCCACATTAAATGTATCAGCCAATCTGCCCCAGATATCTGCAAAAAAGACTTCAAGAGCTAGAGATGGCCCCCAAACATCCCAACAGGAACTACTTCCTGTGCTTCAAAGCCTTTAACAATTGGGATGAAGAGGAGAAAGAAAGAAGAAAGGAGAGAGGGAAAGAAGAGGGAAGGAGGGTGGAGGGAGAAAGGGAAGGAAGGAAGGGAAAGAAGGAAAGGACGAAGGAAGGAAAGAAAGGAAGAAAGAGAAAGAAACAAAGAAACTCTTGGCTACTGTCCTGGCAGTCTAAAATAGAGCACCAGTGCCACAGGCCTCCTCCTCCATCATCCCCACCCTGGGCCCCATGGCCTCCTCCGCCTCCGCCTCCTCTTCCTCCTCCTCCTCCTCCTCCTCCATCCTCCTCCTCCTCCTCCTCCTCCATCCTCCTCCTCCTCCTCCTCCTCCTCCACCCCCACCCTGGGCCCCATGGCCTCCTCCGCCTCCGCCTCCTCTTCCTCCTCCTCCTCCTCCTCCTCCTCCACCTCCTCCTCCTCCTCCATCCTCTTCCTCCTCCTCCTCCTCCTCCTCCTCCACCTCCTCCTCCTCCTCCTCCATCCTCCTCCTCCTCCTCCTCCTCCTCCTCCTCCACCTCCTCCTCCTCCTCCTCCTCCTCCATCCTCCTCCTCCTCCTCCTCCTCCTCCATCCTCCTCCTCCTCCTCCTCCTCCTCCTCCTCCTCCTCCTCCTCCTCCATCCCCACCCTGTGCCACACCGCCTCCTCCTCCATCCTCCTCCTCCTCCTCCTCCTCCTCCTCCACCTCCTCCTCCTCCTCCACCTCCTCCTCCTCCTCCATCCTCCTCCTCCTCCTCCTCCTCCTCCATCCTCCTCCTCCTC